GGGGCAGGGGGGCGGCCTCCCCCTCCCTCCCCGCCCGCGCCTCACCTTTCCGAGCCAGGGCAGGAGGCAGCCGGCGTGGAAGAGGTGCTGGCAGGGCATCTGCCTCGCCGCCTCCTCCGCCTCGAACTCCAGCAGGCACACCGGGCACCGGAGCCCCTTCGCTGAGCGGGAGAACCGAGACACAGGACCGCGTCAAACCGGCTGCCTCGCCTCCCTCCCCCCGGGGCTCCGCCTCTGCTCGCCGGCCGGCAGGAGCCCCTCCCGCCGCCCCCCAAGAAGAGCCCCCGGCCCACCTGCTTGCGGGGCGGCCACCCGCACCTCGGGCAGCCCCTCCACGGCGCGTCTGGCGGCGGGCGGGGGAAGCCGGTGGTCCCAGTCGCCGCCCTGCAGGGCGCCCACGTCGATCTCCAGGCCGTGGAAGAGGGACCTGGAGGGGGCGCGGGAGGAGGCCCGTCAGCCGGCGCCCGTCCGGGAAGGCGGCCCGCAGCCCGCCCGGCTCTCCGGCGCCGCGGCCCAGCTCGAGCTGACCCCCCCCCCCACAGCCCCGCCCCGCTCACCTGGCCAGCTCCAGCAGGGCGCGGCGCGGCGGCAGCGGGTCCCCCGTCGGGGCTCCGGGCTCGCAGTCGTGCTCGTCGAAGTAGGACGCCATGGCCGGGCCGGGAGGCAGGCCCCGCCCCGCCCCGCGCCCCGGCAGGCGCCCAATCCGTGCGGCCACCCGGCTTTCCTCCTCCCGCCTCCTTGCTCTCCGCGGGGTCCGGAGCTCCTCCCGCCCCGCAGAGCCTCCCGCTTTGCCAGCGCCCTGAGGGCGGCTCCCCTCCGCGGAGAACGAGGATCCCGCCGGGTCCTCCGATGCTGAAGCAGCTCCAAGCGAGCTCCGAGGGCGAGCAGCCGAGTTGATTTGATCATTTATTTCTCCGAGTTGTCAATCGCTTACAAGATGATCGGTATAAGTATAACATGAGTAAGAATACAGGAAAGAGGGATGGATAAATGGGGACCAGAGGAGAGGGACGGGAGGCACACCCCTTAATGGTTAGCGGTGGGCCCTTTGGGGCCTCAGAGGACCAGGGACCCCAAAAAAAACCTGTCCCAAGGGGGGCGCACTTGCCAGTTTCCCACCCAGTTGAGGCAGGAAGAGCAAGAGGGACCCAAAGAGGCTGGTTGATCTTTCAGAGGCCCTTTTCCTGCCCCCAAACATGTGCAAGTAGACGATCTACCCATCTACCTGGGCCTCCTCAGGTGACAGATTGCAAAGGTTCCGCCCAGGGCCAGAAGGCAGGGAGCCCCCCTTCCCCAAGCCCAGCTGAGGGGAAGGACAGCAGGGGCAGCTGAGAGCTACAGAGCCCCGCCCCCCCCCCCCCCCCGGGGGAGCAGAGCCTTTCCTAGCCAAAGGGCTGAAGGCAGGAGATGCAAGGCCTGGACTTAGGCCCCAGTTTAACTGCTGTAGCCCAAGGCTGAACATCAGTGCACAAATGCGTTGCAATAACACTTGGACAATGGAGCAGGAAGTACACAAGTCCCCTGTCCGTCTGTCCCACCTACAGAGAGTCCTTATTGGTGTTGAGGTCGTGGACATCAAGGGGGGCTGTGCCCTTTGCTTCCTTTCTCCATCGGCTTGCTTGCCATGATGATGAGAAACCAAGGGGTCAAGGTTGCTGCCAGGTCCTAGCCAAGCCCCGATGGCCGGCACCCCTGAAAGCTTGGTGTTGGGAAGATGACTCCAGGGCGAATTGGATCAGCGATCAGTCACCACCAGCAGCGCTGGTCTGTGCTGGAGCCCGCTGGTTCCCAGATCCAGAGAGAGTGAAGTAGAGGGTGATGGCTAAGACGATGATCAGAACAACGGCCACAACCATGGCTACCAGGATGACCTTGAATCTCACATTCTCCCAGCGCTTCTTCTGGGCCAGGGTCTTGGTGGTCTTGGTGAAGGCAGAACTCTAAAAAGAACCAATTGGAGACAATTGCAATCTCATTCTGGTGAATTCAGGTAATCTCCAGCTTATAGCCGTTCGTTTAATGACTGTTCAAAGTTACAACAGAACTGAAAAAGTGACTTTTCCACACTTAAGCCTTCTGCAACATCCCCATGGTCACATGATCAAAATTCGGGCACCCAGCAGCTGCCCTGTATTGATGGCAGTTCCACTTCCCTGGATCCTGGGATCCCTTCCCAGCTGGCGCCCCTCAAGCAGAGTCAATGGGGGAAGCCACATCCACTTAACAACTGCAGTGATTTCCTTAACAATTGTGGCAAAAAGTTCACAAAATGAAGCATAATTCACTTAACAATTGTTTTGCTTAGCAGTGGAAATCTGGGGCCCCATTGTGGCCATAAGTTGAAGACTACTTAAATGGGCCTTTGGCACTAAGGTCTCTCCCTGGCTTGCATGGGAATTACTCACCAAGGCCCACATCATGAATGTCAGCCTTCAAAAGGCCGAAAGGCTGAAAAGAGCCGAGATCCAGGCAAGGTTGAATTCCAGCGTCTGCCCTGGAAAGGCTTCCCTGGCTTGAGTTCAGTGGCCAGGGATGGAGAGCTGGCACAAATTCCAGAGTGAGGCAGTGGCTGCCTGAAAGCTGCTCGCAGCCTCTGCACCACTTCTGATTTCAAGGCCTGGCTGAGAAAAAGGAGCCCAAGGTCCCCCATGAGGCTGCTAGCAGCCCCTTCCTTGAAACAGGAAAGTGGACAGAACAAAGTCAAGCTAGAGTCTTGGACATTAAGAGAGAAAGCTCAGGAAGGATCCATGGATGGAAATCTTAACAGGAAACAAGACACTTGGGAAACTGAAAAATGAACTCATAGAAGCTCTTTCTGACACAATAATCACTGAGAAAGAAAAATAAGAGACCTCAGACTAAACCAGTATGCTTGCATAAATAACTCTGAAAAACCGAGAGATTTAAAAAACAAGTACAAAACATGGAAAGAGACACACATAACGAAGGCAGATTACCAGCACATAGCCTGAATCTGCACAGATGAAGTCAGGAAAGCAAAGGCTCAAAATGAACTAAGACTTGCAACAAATGTCAACAATAATAATAAAACTTTCAACATGATATAAAAGCAAGAAAAATGCAAGGAAACAACTGATCCACTAATGGGAGAAGGTGGCAAGGAGGTGATGGGCATTGGGGGTGGGATGGGAGAAGAAGGAATGAGTGGAAGATTAAGAGAGAGAGAGAGAGAGAGAGAGAGAAAAGCTAGAATTCAGGGGAAGCAATTCTGACAGTGAGAACAATTCACCAGTGAACTGCTTCCCTCCAGAAATGGTGGGCGGTCTGCCTGGAGGCTTTCAAGAGGAGATCAGACAAGCATTTGCCTGGAATGATCTAGGATCTCATGCACTAGAAGGCTTCCAAGGCCCCCTCCAACTTCTTCTTCCGTATTCCTTGGGCCTGACCCCACTGAAATGCCAACTGGCAGGTAGGCCCAACGGGTTGTCCAGCTGTCCTTGCAAGGCGCTGGACAAAGAGCTTGTGCCCCACCCAATCCCCACCTCCCCTTCCAAGGCCTCCATACCTGTTTCTGAAGCTCATCAGCCCGTTCATCCAGGTTGCTAAGCTTCCCCTCGCGGTCCATCACTTTGGAGTAGTTGTCTAGCATGATTTCTGTCACCTGGTCAGCCTCCTGCTGGCACCGCTTCAGCTGGTTCTCACCCTGCGGAAGGGGACAGGCTGGTCACAGGTGCGACTCGGGCTCATTCCCCCAGCTTTTGTACAAGGAGGGAGGGGCTACTGGCCCAGCGCCTGGGAGGCTCAAGCGGACTGGCTGGAAAGCGCCCACTTTGAGGCCAGTGTGATGGCCCTGGGGTGCCTTCTCCGAAGACCATGCGACTCAAGAGAGCCGCCAGGTGTGCTCAGGATGCCCGCGAGGCACTTCTGCACCCCAGGTGAGCATTCCAGGCATGCTCCAGGATGGACCTTTCTCTGCAAAGAAAAACTGCTGGAAGGCCAGCCGTGCGTCTCTCTCTTAAGTAGAAGATGAGAAAGGCAATGGAGGCTGAGCATTTAAACATCCCAGACATACATTTCTTGTTGAATTTCTTGCATTTACCTTGTCCTTAAGAATGCTCCAGGTACCACACATTTAACACTTGGGAGACAGTTTAGTCTAGTGGTTAATGCACCAGGCTAGAAAGCACCAGACAATGGGGGTAAACTGTCACCCAGGGCTGTCAAACTCCAGTCACGCACTGGCCACACCCAGTTTAGCAACCGGGGGGGGGGGGGGGGTCCCGCTACGTCATGTGATACCATGATGCCGCGAGTTTGACACTCCTGCCCTAAGGGTTCTGGAACCCACAGCCATCCATTGCCGCTCCCTCTGAAACCCCCCTTTTTCCACCCCCCTGGCTGCCTTGCTGCAAACACCCATCAGTATCTACTGACTGACACTCCGCCTGGGCTCTGGGAAGAAGACCAAAGCCGCCTTGGTCAACCGACACCCCTGCCTGCCCTAAGTCTTCCTTGGCAGCAGGTGGACAGGAGCCAGAGGAGAGCGGGCAGCCAAGCCACGGCTGAAGTGCAGCAGCAGCAGCAGCAGCGGAGATGACGCAGCAGGCCAGCCTGGGAGGTCTCGGGGCTTTCCAAGGGAAGGAATGCTGGCTGGCTGCCAAAGAATCACAGGGCAGATTCTGTGCCCGGGAAGGAACCTCCTGCCACGGACGCAAAGGAAGCTGGGGCCCTGGATGGGGGGCGCCTCCTCAATCGCTAAGACCTTCCACGTTCCCACAAGCACCACTGAACCTTGTAGCCTCTCAGGGACTGGGCACGAACTGAGGAGCAGACGGAGCAAGGACTCATCCTTGCCTTAACTTCTCTCTGGCCTTCTGGTTGGGCGTAACCTTCCCTTAAAACCGCTTCTTGTCTCAAGTTCTATTCCGGCATTTCAAAGACCCCCCCAGGTCCCTCCTTCCAACTCGGTTATTCTGCTCTGTTGGGCTACTGATCGGATGCTTTATGGCATTCAGGGTGGACTTCAGTAGTCAGTAGAGTTTCCGTTTGTGGTGCTACTTTTATGCTACTTTTATGCAGCTTCACCAGAGGGTCCATAAACGGACATAGTTCATCTTGATGGTGGGTGAAGATCCTGATGGAAGTTTGTGGAGGTCTCTGGAGGGGAGGCAGGAAAAACCCTTTCATGGGATGGAAGTGGAGATGAGCTTGTGGGAAGAGGTGTAGGCCAGAGGGCCAGGTGGATCTTTGCATGCACTGCATGAATGGCTCCCCAACTGTTTCTCCAAGTTGATTTGAGCAAAAGAGGTTAGCGGCCAGTCATTCTAGCGCTGTATCAGGATTGATGTTTTCCTGCAGAAACCTACAGAAGCGCAGCCTGAGAATCGATGATTATTACCTGTATTGTCAGAGTACAACATGTGTACAATGAGATTGGCTCAATCGCCGTGTGGCATGAAGCTGCTCAGGACATGTTCTTGCAACTTCTTCTGCATCAGACTGGGACACGTTTGCTGGTCCAGCCTGCTGCAGAACTCGCTTCCTAAGCTCTTCTCTTCCAAGGGGGTTTTGCCTCGTTAGTTTGAAGTAATGTATTCTGTACGTTTACTTCAATTAACAATTTTAAAATCCCATCTTGTGCTGCATAGCAGAGACTGCGTTTTCAACGTGCCTTAAAGTGTGTACAAGAATCTTTGTCAGAAACTTTGC